CTTTGTGAATTTTAATTATTATAGTCTGTTCTATGCTTCGAACTGGTGTTATTGATGTATGGTTTTTCGTTGTAATTTTATTTTGCTATTTTAGAAAGCTAACATAATTTAAAATGATAGTAATCAAGAGATTATAGAGCTTATAAAGTTAATTGAATGATGTTTTAGTATCCACTGTGATATGGTGTGTGATGCGAGTGCTTGACAATGAAGATTTAATTCTATCACGTTAAAAGGTTTTCTAGATTCTTTATATGATTCTGGGTTAGTATAGCCAAAGAACCCTATGAATAGCTCTGGAATATAATAACTATGTTCCTTAAATTTTAAGTGATCATGCATATCAATATACCAAATTGTATTACACAAACAACTAACGAATTTTTTTCCTTGTGCATTAGCATTCTCAATTGAAGACCACTCCTCACCATTTTGACAAATCCATTCGATTATATCATTATATAATACTTGTTTATTGTTTAGCCTTTTATATTGCAAGGGGCTTAGCAAAAAATTTTTTTTTTGAGTTTGTATAAGAATTTCTAGTGCATTTTGACATAGCACTAAATGAAAGATTATGATATCACTAGTTTTAAGACGATAGTGTATATTTAAACCAAATGCTTTAGTTGATTCTATTATTTCACAATGAGAGCTAGCTTGAATAGTTGTTGCACCTGCACCTAACGTTTGGCTTAATTCAATACGATCGATTGTTTCAGAGAAGCTTATGGAAATATCATACTCTGAAGATATTTCACCTATAATAAGTTTATCAAAAAACTCTTTAATGGTCATTTTATATAGTATTGGATATGCATACCAGCTATGGAGCATTTTTAACCCCTTTAAAATATAGATATTTGCGATTGGCATTTTTTATTAAATACAACTTTACAAGTATATTATAATTAAACTGACCCTTTTATTATATATTTGTTTTCTTTATAGGTACATACATTTTATTTACTATAAAACCCAAAATAATATGCATGGGCATTATTTGATAGTATATAATAATTGATAATCAAGTCATACAAAGAAAAAGAAAAGTGTGAAATCTCGACCTGCAAATAGCATTTTCTGGTTTTCAGATAAGCATTATAGATTTGATAATCATATTTTTTTTTCTCTTAAAATTCTGTTATTGTATTTTTGTTGTATTAAAATTCATTGATTAAGTTTTATATAATCTCTAAGGCTAAATATAAAAAGTAAAATTCAAAACATTGGCAGATCTAATTCCAAAAAAAAAAGAACGATAATTTTTTTATTGCGTTTTTCTCAAGAACGTTAAGACTATAGAATTTTTGACATGCATTAAACATTAGCAATTTTCTATAGAAGTTTTATATAGAAATTTATACAGGTTACTATTTTCTTTAGAACTAATAAGCAAGTTTAATACAAAGCAAAATCATGATCTGAAAAAATAAGTAGTTGATCACCAACCTCAAGGACAGATATTTACGATAAAAAATAGCTGCCAGGACAAAAATTTAAAGTTACATTATCAGACGCTAACCACAAAGTACTAGAAGGAATTTATGACAAAAAGAAAAAAAAAAAGGGACACAGACAAAAAATTTATAGTTATAGTTTTTAACATTAATCCCAAGGTATGGGGAAAAATTTAATAAAAGAACAATTAGTTACTAAATCTGGCATCAATTCCAAGGTATAGGAATGGATTTACTATAAACA